TAGAGGAGGTACTCTTTTGTTCAGTGAGCCGAGACTTGATATCCTATTAGTAAAGCGTTAGCACCTCTATAGAGTGGTGGTACAGCCAAGCCCTATGGAAACTCAGTTAATGTGTTTTGGGGGATTACTTTATCCACACTCGTTTACCTTAGGGCTCATTTACATGACACAATCCTCACATAGTCTCCCCTTTACAATTTTTGCCACTAATTTTTTTTTAAGTTATCAAAATAAATCCTCACCATTTGAACTCGTATCAAATCTATCCCCACACTAGACTCCCTCCAAAAACTATATATTATTGGCCTAGCTTCTGAAAGGAAGCTTAGAATCCATGCCCAGCCTAATGCCATTCCATCTATGCTACCAAACACTGACTAGCTTTTATATTGCTCAGGCCACAAGACCAAAATGGTATTCCAGCAAATCTTTTTGTATCTGGTCCACAGTAATTCACATGTATGACCTCCTTGATTAATAGATTCTCGAACTATAGAAGGATCACTGATGGACGATGGCTATGGACTGTTTTCTTTCTTTCTTTCTTTGCACGAATCATTGTAGTCGCCAAAAAAAGCAAATCGCCGGCTAAACTTGCTGAATTTCGTAGATCATGCTTGAAGATCAAATTATGTCATTGCAATTGCACACTACTTGCAGGCTATAAATAAGAGGTCCTGAATCTAGGAGTTGCATAAATCACACTAAATGAAAAAGAAGAAGAAAAGGAAACCGAGTCCTCCTTGAACTATACTGTGCCGGTGTAACCTTGACTAGCCGATGCCTAAAATCACATGAGTTTGATAGTTGTGTCAACTTTTCTCCTCATATAATGGACTACAAGCATATCTCTCGTGACAGTCAATCTCTGAAGGGATGTTGCATTTCTATCAATATCATACCATGCCGTTCAATTAAATTAGTTTCTTCTCCTTCCACGTCCAAAGGAAATAACCTCGTGTGCAAAACCCACGTTTCAAGGGAAAATTACCAAAAAAATTCATAAACAATTGTAACTGTATTAATTCAGTCTTAAACCTTTTACATTTGTGCCAATTTAGTCCATCCAGTCATTTTTTGCCGGAAATCTCTGACATGGACGTCAGCCGCATAGGACAGTCTCCATTGACGGAGACAGTTTTTAATAATATTTTTATATTTGTTCGATTTTTTTTTAATTATTTTCTTTTATTTTTGCTTTTTTTCTTTTCTATCTTTTTCTTTTTTTTTCTTCCCTTTTTCTTCTAGCCGGTCACCGAACCTTAGTGATCGGCCAGAGGCGAGGGCGAGGGCGAGGCTCGACCTCACCCAGCTATGGCGAGGTCGAGCCTCGCCTTTGTTGGCCCTTGCCTCTGGTCAGTCACCAAGGTTCGGTGACTGGTTAGAGGAAGAAGGGAAGTAACAAAAAAGAAAGAGAAAAAAATAAAAAATAAAAAGGAAAAAGAAAAAATTAATAAAAATATTCAAAAATATTAAAAATTATCATCATCAGCTCTGGCCGCAATGTCAGCGATTTCCCACCAAAATTGGCCAGATAAATTGAATTGATACAATTTTAATAAGTTAATGACTCTTTTGGTAATTCTACCCATATTTCGAAGACCAAGAATGGCGCATTACTAGCTCGGTCTGGTTGCGGTAATGGAATGAGATCGTGACATGATTGCTATTAAGTTGCAACCCAACGAAGCTGTAATAGTAGCTATCATACCCTTTGATTCGAGTAATGTAATAATGCCTATCATACTATTTGGTTTCATGAACAACATAGCTCTTAAGGAGTCATTATCTTCGGAACTCCCAAAGTACCCTTAAATCAGAATTACAGGGAACATTATAATTATCACTTTGATACTTAATGGAGAATTTCATGCCCCATAGATATTAACGGATGTTACAGAATTTATTACGTCAAGTGATTTTTTTATGATTATAATAAAAAGCTTAGCGCACAACATTTGATTATACTAAAATCAATTTTTATATTATAGTAATTATCATCTTGATAGCCAATCAAGAGGGTAATATCCCATATATCATATATGTTATCAAGATACCATAATTAAGAATATACAAATATTATGTCTTGTTTAGTAATTTTTTTACGAATATGAATTAAATTAATCACACAACAAGCTTATATTGAAGTAAATACTATATTATTATATCAATGAATGAAACGATAATTATATATATGCAATTAGTAATTAAGATAACTATCTTATTACCATTTAATAATGAAAATTGACATAAGTATACCTCGTAGTAAACAACAAATATCATGCAAAGCGATGGATTGATGGTGCTACACTCTAAATGTACGTACGCCAAATACCCTAAAATACCTTCAATTTTAACTTTTTTCTTGATTTTATCTTTTGTCTTAAAAAAATCTCCAACTTTAGGCCATGTCTCAATTCTACCCTAAACATTTTTTGTCCCATAAAAAACCCTCAACTTTAGGTCTAGTCCCAATTCCACCCTAAACTTTTTTCGTCTTATAAAAAACACATAATTTTAGGAGAAGTATCACTTGTACCATAAACTTTTTGTTGTCTCATAAGAAAATCCCAGCTTTAGGTTCAGTTTCAATTTCACTCTAATTTTTTTGTCTCATGAAATATCACCAATTTTTACTTGAGTCCCAAATCTGCTTTTCATTAACACTCAGTCAAAATCTCCCTTAGTGATTTTGCACACGTCGATCTTTCATGCTTAGGAATGTTCCATCTCTCGCGGTCGAAGAGCTCGCGCTTAAACCACTTAAGCAACTCGTGCTTGGTCGGAGAGCTCACGCTCGAGATGATTGAATAGCTTGTGCTTGGGAGTTTTTCATATCTTGATTATCAACGAGAAATTTCGGACGGAGGGCTAATGAGGGCATATTTGTGACTTAAGTAAAAGTTTGTGATTTCTTATGAAACTATAAAAATTTTAGGGTAAAATTGGGACGGGACAAGACCTAAAGTTGGGAATATTTCATAGGACAAAAAAGAGTTTAGGGTAAAATTAGGACATGATCTAAAGTTAAAAGTTTTTTATGAGAAAAAAAAATATTTATGGTAAAATTGGGACTGAACCTAAAATTGGAGGTTTTTACCAGGCAAAAGGTAAAATTGAGACAAAAGTTAAAGTTTGAGGTTTTTTAGGGTATTAGGCCTATATAGGCAATTTAACTGGTAAATAATTATTGGACAGTCATGCAATTGCGAAAAGTACTTGAACCTATCTTTTTTGTGCAATTGACTACCCGTACTTTTGTTATTCAATTGGGCACCACATTTCCATGAAACGGGTCAATGCGCTTGGTACTTCTGCTGAGTTGGCAAGAACCTTGCCAAGTCAGCAGTAATTGAACAAAAATTAGGACGTGGACAGCCACGTCATTACTTTTTCCAATGAGCCAAGAGACCTTTTTGTGTCCCTTATTCTTACACTCCCTCTCTCATAAGGCAGATTAACGACGGAGAAATCGACAATCGGAGAGCCACAAACCCGGAGTAAATTGGGTCGGAATCCAGCTCTGCTGGGACAGAGCCTATCGGTTGACTGCCGTAAAAAATTGTCCAACCCAAAAGCTTACTCATGTGGATAGAGGGAGCTTTCGTATATACAAAAGTCACTAAAACTCTAAGCGACATGAGATATTTTATAATAGAGATTACGAAATTTTAATCATAACAAAAGATAACTCTATACTAAGCCGACAAACTTGATAGTACAACAATCGGAATAAAAATTCAACCAAAAGGATAGATGCAAAACTGTAATTTTTCCCCGATTTCTCAATTGTTTCTATCCATCCATTTTTATCTCTTGCATCTTTTGCCAAATACACCAACAAAATCCCTTTTTTCCATTACATCCTATTTTCTTTTCCCTATTGATCATAGCTTGGTTCTATTGGTACTCTTAAAGGTCTAGCTACCAAATCTGTAGCCTCACCCGAAACCATGAAATTGTGAGAGCATGAAAAGGCTGTGGATAATGTGTAACACCATGCAATTTTCTTCAAACCACCGTCCCTTTTTGTGCAAATAGTAAATGCACATGACGGTGCCTAAGTTCAATTCACTTTATTCTTCTACGAAATACTTGATCATCGATCAAATGAAAAAAAGCACACGTACTATCACAACGGACCATTGTCGGGGAACTTACCAAAAAAATCCAAGATCTATTGCACTTACGCCAATTCAGTCATAAAGATTTCAATTGTGTCAATTGAGTCCTAAACTTTTTAAAAATTTTCCAATTTAGTCATTCCGTCAATTTTGGCCAAAAATTGCTAGTGTGGACGATTTTTGCAATTTTTTAAAAGACTTTTGAATTATTTGTTTTATTCATTTTCTTTTTAAATTTTTATCTTTTCTTTCTTTTTCCTTTTCCTTCTTCCTTTGCCGGTCGTCGGACCTTGACGATGGCCAGCGATCGGCAAGGTCAGCCCTCACTGGCCCTCGCCGAGGCTTGGCGATTGACGAAGGAAGAAGGAAATAGAAAAATAAAAAAATAAAAAAAAAATTCCACTTCCGTATGGTCGACGTCCACATCAGCAACAAAATTAACCTGAATAACTAAATTAGCAAATTGTCAAAAGGTTTAGGACTGAATCGGCATAATTTGAAGATTTATGACTGAATTGGCACAAATGTAATAAGTTTAAGAATTTTTTGGTCAATTTCCCAACCACCATCACTTGATGTTCCTTGCCGACCTAACTAATTTCTAGCTCCATGGCTTCTTTTTCGCTTTCAAGCTTGCGTTACTAGCCTGTTCGAAGGTTGGACTATAGCCACAAAAGAGAACGTGCTTTAAAAGTGACCAACCAACAAATTGCATCGATTCGGTAAGTCGAAAGACACGCAATACGATGGATCTCTGCCTATGAAGCATCAAACATCCTTTTGGTCAAGAAAGCTATACTAGTGCGGCGTGGCTCAAACTCGAGACAAAATTTCGGCCTACAAAGCGTGCGGGCTATAAATGTACCCGCGATACGAACTGATTTTATGTGCAGAATTTCCGAACACGTGCAAGTCACAACGCAGTACTACCTCCACTTCACTAGAGAGAGAGAGAGAGAGACAGAGAGACAGAGACAGAGAGAGGAGAGTGGTGCGATGGTGAGCAACAAGCAAGTGGTGCTGAGGGACTACGTGAGCGGGTTTCCCACGGAGGAGGACATGGTGGTGAGGATGGGAGAGATGAAGCTGGAGGTTCCTCCAGGGTCGAAAGCAGTGGTGGTGAAGAATCTCTACTTGTCGTGCGACACCTACATGCGCCTCCTCATGAACCGCAGCACCACCGACTTGCTCACGCCTTACACTCCCGGCTCGGTAAGCAAAGCGTTTTCCTTTTTCGTTTTTGTCTTGACAACTATTGTCTCTGCCTGAGGAAGTTCTTGAGCTAGTCATTTCTTTTTTCTGAAAGAACTATTCACGAGTGAGTAGTCCGTTGTATCAATGTGCATCCAATTCATCATGCCCATAGGATGGCATGGGTCTCGCACACGTGACACTCGCATGACCTAACGATTTGATCGAACTGGTGCGCGCCTGTGTGCACTAAGGAGAAAATTACTGCGCAAGTTTTGATCAGAGCAATGCTAGGAGAAAGTAGGTCTTGTGTCGTTGTAAATGCCACGAAATTTGTATGTTCTCAGCTATTGAGGACAAGCGAGACCCATACATAGGTAAGGTGGTGGACTTCTTTGAAAACCCACAAAAGTAATTTGGTACCTTTTTTCTTTAATTCATCATAGTTTGATACATGAACAAAGAACTTTTGATATCTTTTCAGGGAATTCTTGTCTTTTCAATGGCCCATTGATGCAATTGCCCACAAGTGAAAATAAACCCTAACACCACAAAAAAAAATCATGCTTTTGTGTTTGATGGAAGAATGTTACACTTCAATCCTTATGTCACTTTATCTTCCCTGTTCAATGATGAAGATTGGCAGCAAACAATTGATTTCTGATATTGTGAGTTATTTGCATTAGATATGACTATATTGTGAACAGAGACTCATTATTAACAAATAAAAGATAAAAGGGGTAATGACTAGACCTATCAAAATGGGTCATAGATCCACTTCTTAACTCATATATGATGAGCTGACTTGTTATATAACTAAGTTATATTCAGTAAATAAGTCATAAATGGGTTTAAACATAATATGGGTGTTAAATGGCTCGTAAATTGGTCATAAATAAGTTTACAACTTATTAATCCAACCAACCTCTATGACTCTTTTCACATTCTCGCTTACCCTCACTCGATCTCGCGCTCACTCATTGTGCACTCTCACCTCAGTTTGGGTATGAATTTTTGTAAATTGAGTTGAATATGGAAGTATTTTAGCAATATATGTCGGGTTTTGTATGAGTTACTAGATTGACATTATATGAAAAATGGGTCAACAAGGGTTAAAGGGTCTATTCGGGTCAAACCATATTCGACCCAATCCAACCCACCTGTTTGACGAGTTTAGTAATGACATGGGTGGTTTGTGAACTTCTTCAATGTTTGATGTGTTCCAAGAACCTTTTTTGTTCAATTTAATCTATGAACTCCTTACGTTAAGTGTATCGCTATGTCATGTGCATTGCATTTGTTATGCCCAAACAATGACGTGGTTTATCAAGTTGTTTTCCCAAGTCAACAAACCTTTTTTACATTTATTTTGTGGAAAAAATCATGAGAGAGATGTAACATGGAAGCCACAAATAAGCCACACGAACGTCGGCATGACTCATCTAACGTCAAGTTAATAAATATAATTATCACATCATCTAATTGTGTAAGAATTGTAAAGAAATAACAACTACATTGAGTGGATTTTTGAAAGTTCAAGGACTAGATTGATTAAAAATAGGTTAAGCTACCGCATTCAATATTGACGAAAAGTTCAGAGAGCATTCATGTCATTATACCAAACTAAATCTTTAAAACAAAGGCCGAACGTATGGAGAATATAATTTGTCTTTCTCACATTTTCAGAAGTTATCCTTATCTGATATATGACCATATATTCCACAATTAAAAAAATTGAGAAGTATGAAGATGGGGCCAACAATTAATGTGAATTAAGTAAACGAATTAGAGGAGGCAATCGTCGATACAAAATTCTAGTTAATTCAATGAAGACGTAGTTTGCTCGGCAGGGGGAAGTGTATGGAAAATATAAAAAATATGCTTCACCTTTCGCCCAATGACTACTTACATGCATTTACTTTTGAAAATACAAGTTACATACCTGACTTTTACCTTTAGAGACCATCTTACACTTTCACATCAATTATTTTTGTACCCCTATATACGAAAATGTCCCTCTCCATATCCTAAATTCTCTCACACATCCAAAAACACTCGAAAGCAACTAAAAAACAAACTACCTAAACCCTAAGCATGATTCTAAAAGTGAGTTTACAAGAGGGGGCAATGGGATCTTTTCGGTGCAAGGTTTTGTTTAGAGATATGTAAATAGTTTTGCAAAAATAAAGACGTGTAAGTGGTCATTGAGTCAAATGGTAAGATGATCATCTATCTCCCTGCCAATTTTACGTTATCGATTTCCTTCTTTTCATTCACTCAAAAACCATGAGTCTCCCTCGCTTGCAGACACTTCAGTGTACATCCACCAGCTTTCATTTTTTTTTTTTGTTATGATAAATAACCAACTGAGCATTTTAGGCAAAGAGTTGAGACCACTCGAAACTCATATATTTTTATGTATAACTTAGACTATTAGATTAGAAACAAAATATAACGATCAACATACATGTAATTCGGGTGTCTCGACCCCATTGTCGGTTGATAAGTCATGTGACGAACAAATATGTGATTCATGGAAAACAATGTAGAACGCGATGTCAAATAGAAGCATTTAAGTTTGACATTATGCTCATATCATCTTCGAATAACAAAAGTAGCATTATGAGGAAAATGGGAAATGGCTAGCTTCATTGGCAGGGTCGTGTATGCAGTCATCATCTGACTAAAGTTTACTTATTTAAAGATGTGGCAATTTCCTATTCAATTCGTGTATCCCACTTTGTTCTAACACCCCATCGAAACTTGCCAGGTCACTTTGTAAAGAAAGTTCCCCTAGAATTTCAGTACACCTAAGTTTTCATCATTTTGTCACAATTTCAATGTTGCAATTTCTTTCCTGGTGATGTTGAAAATGCAGACAATTGCTGGGTTTGGAGTGGCCAGGATTGTGGACTCTGGGAGCCCAAATTTCAAAGTAGGCGATTTAGTTTGGGGCACGACTGGATGGGAAGAGTACAGTCTCATCACCAAGACTGAAGACCTCAAGAAAATTGAGCACACTGATGTGCCTCTTTCTTACTTCCTTGGCATTCTTGGTATGTCGATTGGCTGGACTCTGTAGCTCTTTGTTTCTAGGCGAATAGTCATGCAAATCGTTTTATCCATACCTCAGCGGGAAAGATCACTCAAAAAAAATGAAATGAAGTCGAGCATCGATTAGCTGATATCACTGTTCATCTTTTTATTAGGTATGCCGGGGATGACCGCTTATGTTGGCTTCTACAAGGTATGTTCTGCTAAGAAAGGAGACACCGTCTTCATATCGGCAGCGTCCGGTGCAATTGGACAGATTGTGGGACAGTTCGCAAAGTTGACGGGGTGTTATGTTGTTGGCTGCGCTGGAAGTAAAGAAAAGGTTCGCGGGCAATCGTATTTCAAACTATATTGTTCTCACCAGCTTATTTGCAGGGCTAAAATGATGAATTCACTATAAGTAATACTCCACAAAATTGTTTACCTGCATACACTGCTCTCTTTTTGGCCCAAATACACAGGTTGATTTGTTGAAGAACAGGTTTGGTTTCGATGATGCCTTTAACTATAAAGAAGAACGCAATCTCGCTGCTGCTTTGAAGAGGTTTGTGGCCACGAGATTTGTATTAATCCGTGACGGTGTTTCTTTCGCGAATCAAACGTTAGCGATAAGTTGGGGGTTGGTTCCCTAAATATCGAAACTTCATGCCAAAAAATGTCCTAAAAATATAAAATGTGACGGCAAGTTGTTTTGAGCTGCTGCAATATGAACAAGAATATAGAGTTGTCGTAACGATTTGCATGTTTGAACTATTGGCAGATATTTCCCTGAAGGTATCGATATCTATTACGATAATGTCGGGGGCAAAATGCTCGACGCGGTGCTCCTTAACATGAGATTTCAAGGCAGGATAACTTTATGTGGTATGGTGTCGCAGTACAACAGCGATTCGCAGGAGGGAGTGCATAACTTGATGCACGCCATCTACAAAAGAGTCCGTATTGAGGGATTCGCGGTCCAAGATCACTGCCACGAGTACCCCAAGTTCCTGGAATTTCTGCTGCCTCACATCAGGGAGGGGAAGATTGTGTACGTCGAAGATACAGCCGAGGGGCTCGAGAACGGTCCGTCGGCTTTGGTCGCACTCTTGAAAGGGCGCAACGTCGGAAAACAGCTAGTAGTAGTAGCAAGAGAATGAGGACGTGCACTTCGTGTGTTGGATCTACTCTGCTGTGATGAGAATTGAGTTTGACAACCAGTCTGATGGCAATAATGAAATAAAGGCTGTTCCCGTAATAGTCAGCTATACATTATTAAAAAAAAAAAAGCTATACATTATCTAGATAATTATAATTGTTGTCGTCATGATATAAGTGACATAGATAAATTTAGTCAAGATTATTACAATTGCCCATTTCAACTTAATATAACCTATTACACCCATGCTATAATACTGTAATAGACAATCAATTTGTAATATGTCTATAAAGTAATAGTGCCTTTACTTGTGTCTCCTTCCCACTATCATGTCAAAGTAAAGCCGACAATTTCTGACACGATGAAACTAAAAGTGAAACCAATTTAACATACACAATTTTGTAGCTACTAAAAATAAATTGTTTTTCAATGACACGACTCGACACAACGGAAAGAACTCGATTTTGACACTAACATGTGAATTGCAGGCTTAGATGGTCGTTTTTTCGGCCGACTAAGTTTCCCTGAAGCTTGTGGCACGTTGTCGATCATTTGGTGCAATACTACGATGCATGTACCTACACAAAGTGACATCGATGAGACCTAATGGCGCTGCACATCTCCACGTGCGTACAAATCGAATTACATATTGACAGAATGCAGCAAGTACCATATGCAATTCAGGGATTGCAACATATTACTTTCATGCTAGTGGATCAATCGCTCGTCTATGTAATCACTGTCCAAAGTGTATTAATTTCGATAACACGATTGGTTAAAGACGCAGCACATCTCCAAAAAAGTGCATTAGTCAAAGCAGTCCTCTAAAGTCTTCAGGACAACTTTAGATCCAAGATATGTGGCACATAGACATGTGAACTGATGGGCTCCACAAATTTTCACTTGCAGCAAAGCGCAACTGAACCAAGATTTTCAGCATCTACAAGGGTGACTTTTTTCCAGAAAAGGGAGCTTCTCGTCCTCTTCTAGCATTTGAAAGTGTTTCGAGGGGAAAAATTTACTAATACGGTTTCTACGATCAGAACGATCTCAGAAGGCGGTTGCAGGAAGAAATACACCAAGAAATGTCCCTAGTAAGTGACTACGGAAAGTCGAACTTAACTAGCATGTGTAAGACATTTTGAATTGTAGCACTGAATAACTATGCCCTAAAATAAAAATTCAAGCATTTCATCCCATTGAATAGTCTATTATGGAATCTCATCTGACGAACCACAATTAAATCCAATCCAAACATGCCACATTCATGCACTAGCTCCGTCTCACGATGTGCCCCACGATAACCTCACTTGTAGCATTGGATCTCACCGTGATCTCAGTCCATGAAAAGTAACTCCTAGTGAGAGCAGTTGATTGTTGAAGACCAGAGTAGCTCCAAAATCTGATTTGATGATTTTCTTCGTATAATAAATGCAACCTAGAAAGAATGCATTTAAACAGTCAGGTAAACATTTCCTGAAGCTATGCAAACATGAATGAAGGCACAGTGGAATTTCTCTCTTGCATATTAATTGAAAGAGCATGGATAATTGAAAGAAATTGCTGACACCACATATACACTCTGAAGATTGTTCATTCCCAAAAACCTTCCACGACATCACGAAGCCATAATTGTAATCATATGCTACCATAAGTAAAACGATTTTATGGGCCAACTTATAGATATTATTTGAATGAGTTGTGGTCCTTAGTATGCTAATATATATCTTAGTGGGGTGCACCACTTTGCATCAGAAGATAGATAATGTTGAAAGGAAGAATTTGTAGTCTGCACCATCCCATGCTTGCCGATGGAATAGACTTTTCAATTGCTAGATGGAGCTATTTCATCGGTCAACGAGTTCAAGAATATAGCAAGTTCAGGAGATTACCTAGCAGTCATTGTAGCAGGAAACTCACCATACTGCCCATAGGACCACAGACATAAGAGTGCCCGTCCAGATCCCTGCCCTTCAGCTATTGCTTTCCAGCTATGCCCTGTAACTTGGGAGCTAACATATACTCTGGCAAATTCATCAAACACAAGGTGAGTCATAAAACTCTTTCGCACTGTGAAAATGATGAAGCACCTCAAGTAAAACTGATGCCGCAAGCAACGGATTTCAGAAAGGTCCCCTTGCAGCGCCCAGATTTTCACTTACCGATTTGCCGTGAGCATACTTCCTGATGGCAAAGCTAACATTTATTTTCTTGAGTCATCAACATTGGAAGTTGCAGGAATACTGCTATTTCAAACCCCAAGAAAACACCCAGGCAAAGTCTATGCAGCAACCAAAAAATTTTAGAAGGGTTTTTTTGTAGTGTACAAGCATAAGCGTCCAAGCTGAAATGTCACCTTGTCCCACATTCCGCAGCCCCCAGGCAAGGCCTGGCTGTGGACATGCATATGGATGTTATTCTACCTTCAACAGTCCGACCCTCCGGGACATTAAAACTTTTGCAAGCATGCACGCCAATGTGCCAAATAGAAACCACTACATTTGGCGCTTGTACTATACCAGTTGACCAATGCCACCCGAATATGAGAATTCTCATACTGTAGAAACCTCATGATGGATTGATGCTTGGAATGATTTTGGGAAGCAGCTTGTATGGTGGCCTTGAATATGCATCCCCATTGTTTTGGATGCAAGTAAGTTCCTGCTTAAGAGCAGAATATGCTTCTGCAAACGCCTGCATCAAGTGACAATCCAGAATATCATAAACATACAGTAGATGTAAATAAAAAATTCCCCCTCAATTATCATCACGCTTTTGAGATGCTAATACAAGCCTAAATTTGTTTAAGGTCACAAGTGCATGATTAATAAATCAATTAAAAATGGAAAAGATAACATATTAAAGGATAATTCCTCCCACCTGCACAAGAACTTGTTGACAAGGAAAATTCCTAGTATATGATAGCATATATTATGAAAAGTTCTTATATTCATATATGCCTTTCCTTTATTACTAAGCATCAGAGCCAAAATGAAGCATCATAAACTCTCACCATAATTTTAGGTTCATAGTAACTATTCAGTCCTATAGACTTATTTGAGTCCACTGTTTGAATACTTTGAACAAATCTTCCAGTATGATGTTTTCAGAAATTTCACTAACAAACCTGTTTGTTTTACCTTTCCTCAGGACCATTCTTCACAATCTCTAAATAAACGATTTTTGGACAAATATGTGAACATGTCAATATCAAAATATTCAGCATTCATAAGGCGCTTCCATTCATTTGGCTTTTCCTTTCTTGGAGGCAGGTACCTTGCCTACAACTTTCGGTATAAAAATTAGATTTTTCTGGCAAAATATATAGTTAGATATGAGCCATTGTTAGAACTTCAGGAACTCTTTTACAGAACTTAGGATGTGCATGTAAGCACTTCTCCAGTTTCTTCGGTTGGGGTTGGGTGAAGTAGCAGAGGGATATTTAGTCATCCTAACAGTTTTGAGGGGCTAAATGTGCTACTAAAACCAAAATCAGTCACCAGACAAAGGCAGTTCTTCATGTTAGAGTTATCCCACATCACTTGTTTTCACGGTTTATGACAGCCTTATATAGTGTAGTCTCCATCCACTGAATTACTAAGACTTCCGTATTGGAATTCAAACATGACATTAGAGCCCAACTTACAATTTTTCAGTGCCCAATTTAATAATTCATCCCGTTTGTGAATTACTAGTCTCTGTATAGGTTGGCACACCCTTGCTGCCTCTTATAAATTTTACTGATAAGAAAAACAAAAAAATTCTAGAAGGATGAACAAGTTATAAGCACTGACTAGTTCTAATTTCTTTAAAGAGTAATCTATAAGTCACTTTAGGCAACATGTTATTACAGCTTTACTCATTTGTTACGTGTTAGGTACATTTTAACTGTGGCAAGATGCCCACCAGATGATTGAAATTCCACTAGCACACACCTTGATGCACTGATGAATGCGGAAGCAGTTTCTCCCCACGTTGTTCGTAGGAAAAAGCGGATCGTCTAAATGGATAGGATCAATGCTGCAGAAGGCAAGATATTTCATCAAAAGGTGTAATCTTAGATATGTCATCCATAGTGCATATTTCTATCTCCAGTCATAAATAGAATCAGGAAGCAGATGTCACCTGTAACCTCTTTCCCTCTTCAGATATAAACCACTTCCCCGAACAGACACACGCATTTCGCGAGGATCAAACACATTCCTAGATAATCAAATTATATTCCTGTTAATAACTGCTGCCAAACTGGATGAACGCTTGAAACTAATAAACTAGACGTAGTCAATGATGATGAACAATTAGAAACCATGTAAATAAGGAAAAGAAAAGGTCTAGCTTTGACCCACCCAAAAAAGTAAAGAAAATCCATAAGAAGGCTTCCAAAGTTCTGCAAAAATAAATGACTGCAGTTAAAGTAAGGTCTTCACATAAACACAAGCAAGATAAAATTAAAACTGAACTCCACCAATAATTCATCTAACGAATCAATCTGCCACCAATAATCAGACCACAATACGGCAATTGCCAAAAATGAGTATAACATAGAGCTACAAATATCAAGTGATAAACATATTATACAAATTTGCAGCAAGGCCTAAACATTTTCGTACACCACAGATCCATAGAACACAAAAAATGCCTCTTACAGTGTAAACATCAATTGACAAATGCTGGGAATGTATGTACTCATAAGTAGTTCTACAATATGCATAGAGGATTCTAATGCAATCACACAAAAGTATATTAATCAATCAGCATGGTAAGCATATCACAACAACTATTAGAGCAAATCATATTCTGAAAATGATGAGGTTGATATAGTAACACCTTCCACGCAGATATTAGTAGGCAGTTATCTTGGCCAAGCAATATCACAAGTCAAACATGTACAAGAAGTATTAAAACATTGATAACCTATTACACAACAGGCAGTAGACAACAATATTAAGTATCCCAGCCATCTGTCTTGTCACAAGTATACAATAAGAAGATTAGAAATTCTGAGCATCTGTTAAATATATGCCTGAGTCTTGACACACATTATGGACCCATTCCTTGGCTGCATAAACCTGTAGTCTAAAATGGTACCAGATACTCTC